ACCCCATCAGAAGTGCCTACTGAAGATAGGATAAGCTGTTCTCCCTTCCCTCTCTCCTTTTGCATACTTAATTGCTATTAATATTCTGTAAGATAGGTTTAGATATGTTTTTTAATTTGAGACATTTTCTTTTAAGCAGTATTTCTGTGTGTGCTATGGTGCTCTCTGAAGCCTGATTCTGCTCCTTAATTGTTAGGGGTCTGATCACCTGTATCTGCTTTTAGAGGGAATAATTGTTTTGGGTGGCAAAATAATGCCTCCTCAATCCAACAAGCAGCCTTGTATATACAAATAACAGCTTTCAGAGCAGAGGCTGTAAGTTTGCCTGCTTCTCATAACAGGCAGATGAAGATGTCACTCAGTGCCTGAATAACAACTTAAATGTTGATAATGTGGAGTCTTGCATATAAATGCAAGTCCATGTGGGGAGAGCAAGTGGATGCATCAAACATCATGATCAGGTGAAAAGAAAAAAATATAAATGCAAGTCCTTGCAAGGTGGGGCAGAAATCTTATTAACAGTCCAAAGGTCCTGTTAGCTTGTTAATGAAAACTTGTATTTATAGGAAGAGTTACCAGGTGTAGCTTTTAATGTTGTTAAGTATTTCCTGAGTCATCTTCAGTTAAATATAATATTGTTTAAAAGTATCCAAATATTCCATTATGACAATATATGTGTAAATGCAATTGAAGATCCAATCTAGATCTAAAAATAAATAACCCTGGTTACCAAAATTGGTATGTTAACATTCTTTTTAAAATGTTGACCTGCAATGCTACCCATGGGTAGCAGGAGTAGAAGTTACAGATGTGATTTAAGTTGGAATCATTTGTGAATGTAAAAAAAAGTATTAAAGTTTCCAAAGCTTTGCCTTAAAGCTTCCTACTCTACTCTCAGTATAGTTTACAAACCATATTTGTTTTTATAATGGACCAACATTGTTTGAAATGCATCTGTGCCATAACTAGGTTCACACATTGCACTATCCTGTAAACCATGCTTTACAAACCACAGTTAGTTGATTTTATATTCAGTGGTACCTCGGTTCACGAACTTAATTCGTTCCACGACTCTGGTCACGAACCGAATTGGTCGTGAACCCAATCAAATTTTCCCATAAGGTTCAATGTAAATCCGTTTAATCCGTTCTGCCCCCACGGAATTTGGTCGCCAACCGATTTTTGATCGCATCCCGAATCAA